CTCTATATAAGGGTTCCAAGATTGTCAACCAACCATATATATCTCTATATAAGGGTTCCAAGATTGTCAACCAGCCATATGTATCTCTACATAAGGGTTCCAACATTGTCAATCTTCATAGCAGCAGACAACCTCTCCTGTCTCCTGTGAAGTACCTGATAAATAAGTTTTAATCCTTGACATTTTGGTTAGCAGTTCAGTGCTTACCATAGTGCCACCAGGGATCCTAAGACTTGGGTTTGTTGTTAAGTACCGTGGCGTCGGTTCTGACTCACAGTGAGCCTGTACAGGGTTTCTGTAAATCTTTACGTCATTCTCCCACAGAGCCGCTGGTAGTTTTGAACTGCTGACCTTGTGGTTGGCAGCCCCGACTCGTAACCTCTACGCTACTACCAGAGGCTCCTTAACACTTGGGAGGCCCTTTTTCCCCCTTTATTTTTGGTCTTCAATATTGGGAGTAGGGAGAGACTTTATAAAGAAGAAACTGTTTCAAAAAAAACAAACTGAAAAAGGAGCTTAGTGAGTATAGTTACAGAAGTAGATATACACTGTATCTACTTAAAATTTTACTCAGATGAATCTGCTTAGAGATGGGTTTTCTTGGAGAAAATTGCCTAACATATGTGTTGGAAATAAGGATAAGGATTTCTGGAAACTTTGGGTTAAAAAAACAACAATGAATTCAGTAGTTTTAAAAGTGACTTCATTTCTAAGAGGAGACCATTAGGGGGCAATACTAGGTCTAAGTTTTAATTAATTGAGAGTTGCTTCCTTGAAAATATCTTTGAATTTAGAGTTAGAGTTTTATTCTAATGATGCATTTCCAGGACCAGACTTTCCAAAGTGGAAGAAAGTTTATAAATGCCAACTTCTGTCATTTCCCCATGCATGTGAAATATTTGTAAGACCAGATGATCTTGTAGTGCGATGAAGTGAGATGATTTTTAAATGAACACTCTTGGAAGCGTAAACATGGATAATTTAGCCCAGGGGTTGGCAATTTTTCTTTTCTATGCAGGTCAAACAGTAAATATTTTAGACTTTGCAGACTTTGCGCCTGGTGTGGCGCTGTGGGTTAATATGCCAGACTGCAAAGCTGTTTGAACTGCAAAGTTGGCAGTTCACGCTCACCAGCTGCTCCATGGAAATCCTATAAAGGGTCACTATGGGTCAGAATCAACTGGGCGGCACTTAACATGTTCTCATCTCCTGTTTGTAGTACAAAAGCAGCCATAAGTGTAAACGACTGCTTCAATAAACCTTTAATTACAAAGACAAGCGGGCTGTAGTTTTCCAACCCCCAGTTTAACTTAGAGAATGTCTCCTCCCTACTGACATGTCAGAGTTCTGGATCTAGGTGGCTGTGTTCCCTAGAATGCTGCAGTCACCGTTTACTCTTTTGAAGGTTTTGTGATAACCGCTATCTAAATTTATAAAGTCAGACTAAGAATATCATTCTTTCCTTTTAGATTTCACCTCCATGGGTTTGATGTGTCAGGTGTTTGGGAAACAATAAAAGCTGATTTAACCATGTTGA